TTAACCTATTAGAAATTGTATTATCTTAAAAAATTGTATTTAGCTTTCTATCAATTAAGTCGCAACATTTTTTTCATAAGAATTTTAAAATATTTAGAATTTTATCTGAACAATACATTTTTCTTTAACGCATCTTGCGTTAGAATAATTCGCGATAAATTTCTATATGTATCACTTCTATTGAGTCTATCCTGATTTAAAATTTTACTTTAAATTTTTTAATTTTGCAACAGTACTATCTTAACATTTACTTACAGTAAATAAATATTTATTCAATAATTAAATCAACTTGATTTTTGTACTAAATAAATATATGTTTATATTTAGTCAATATTCAGTCAGATTGCTATTTAAACAAATATCACAATTTATTAAAATTTACATACTACTTTTTTTTTGTGTATATATAAATATTTTATTTGTTTTACAATATATATTATTTATATTTTGTATGTATATTAATAAATATTTTATTCATTTATTTTATATCTAAAGTATATAATTGTATAAAAAATATGTTTTAAGAAGTAAAAAGACTTTCACAAAAGCCGCAATAATAATTGCTTAACGGCAGCCGATCTTTGATCTCGCAGCAAAAGTTCATGCGATTCATAAACCCGGCACGTTCTTTAGCGCACTTCCTCGTTCTCTCGTTAATTACAACCAGCTTACTGCACGTTCCTTACAGAATGAACTGTATGTAATATTACACCATTTCTTTCAACGAACAGCATCAGCAGCTGCGCATGTTTTTGGAAGCTGTTACTCATGTACATTAATGTAACATGTTGAATCAATAACATGCTCGTTTTCGCGCAGATTATCTGGTTAATATTAAAAATGTTGCATCCATCAATAAATCCATCAATAAATATGATTATTAGAATTATTAGAATTATTAGAATTAAATGCAATTTTTTCGAGATACTCTACCCTGTTTAATTAGTTCATCTCCGGTGTTGTTAATAAATCCTCGAACAATTTAGTACGCGTTGCGAAGGATTGAGTTACTTCTTACTCGTAAAAAAGTTCGTACCAGGCGGTTTGCATCTTCTTCAGAGACCGCGGCGCCTCATAATTCACTTAGGTTCAGCTCGCCTGTCTGCATGTTGGTCGAGACAGCGGCAATTACGCCCTGTCGGCAAAAAGTACACGCACTCGAGCGTTTTTAACAAACGCCAACGTGTAGCGTGTCTCACCGTCGCCGTCCGCCGTCGTCACATTACAATTTCGCAATAGAGACGAGAAGTCCACACCAGTTCTAAACGTAAGAGCTTCGGAATTTGAGAACAAGCGCAATCGTGATTCGAGCTTAATGAGCTCAAGAACAAAGCAGACTTAAAAGGGCCGCACATTCAAATTGCTTGCGCTCCATATTTGTTCGCGACGACAGCTCGGTCTCCATTGTTTCTCCTCCGGAACGCCGGAAATTAATGTACAGGGATGAGAAAAAGCGATCGCGGTACGATCGATCGGTACTCGACGAGGAATTCGCGCGGGCAGCCTCCGACCTCCTCTTCGCGAAGCGCAAGCGGCGCGAGCGCATCTCTCCGCCTCGTTTCC